CCCCAAAACCCCAAAACCCCAAAACCCCTAGCTTTAACAAACTAACTGAATTATTAACTCTTTAAAATCTGAAAATATGAGCTCAAGAGTGTCGTGCAAAGTGCTTCTTCTCTTAAAACTACGCTCAGTAGTTATAACCGTTCGGGCCATTATTGGCAGAGTCTAAATGCAATACTCCAGTAGCATGGCTATTAATAAACTTGTAATCAGACTTGTAAAAATCTAAGCTTTTCATGTACATCTGAGATCTTCACCCATCTGAAGAAGTTTTTTGAGTTTCTCTAGTTTGTGCAGTCTTGTTTGTATTGGCAGAGCTTGATCATTTCTTTAGATATAAGCCAGCTTTTTGAAAATTTACGATACTTGAGTTCAGACTTGACTGGCTTCCTGAACAAATTAAAAACAATAATTAGCATTGAAACTTACCGCGGTTGCCAGCTCTCTTCAAATTTTGATCTAGTTGTAATGGAAGAGGAACTTTTGGGGTTTTTGAACCAGATCTGTGCTTCTTAAGATGGCTCTCCATCTTTTGCTTAATAAAAATATCTCTCTGAGCTCTTAATTTCAGTGTTTTCTTCTTTGGAATAATGTTATTAAGATATAAAGTTCCTTTTCTAGATTTATAGCTTTTTCAATGAATAGAGTTGATTCTTCGATGCTTTTGCATAAGCTTATCAAGATTATTGCTCCTTTTTCTGAGCTTTTTCTGCATCTCTTTAAGTGAATCTGGACATCTATCTGTGATATGGGTGTCTGTTTCTTCTTCAGTAAGTGAAGAAATTTTTACTGTAAAGCTATGTTTATTTTTAGACCTCTTCGTCTTTTGTGATTTATTTCGAACAGTGCTTAAATTCTCCATAATTTTCTGCAACTTTAGATTTTTGTGCATTGTTTTCAAGCTTTCTGTATTTCTTTGGTACAGTATTGACATTAGGGCTATCTAGTTTTGCTAGCATCTTATCCTTTGGTTTTACTGTTTGTGTCTGTTGCATAAAAGCCAATCGAGGCGTTCAAAATATAATCTTATCGCTTTCAGTATCATTATTACCCTTATTAGGCCAGCCTTGATTTATTTCATTCATACCTATTTAAATCATTTTATTAATCATGAAAAATCTATTTTGCTCAAACTATTTGAATAAAAGAGAGCTATACTTATTTAGGTTTTACTCCTAATGAAACACAATTGAATGTTGATTAAATAAAAATCCCTCCAAATCTTTAAACCCATTTCTTTACGTTACACTAAATATAATATTCTTCAAATAACCACAAAATGCCCAAATTTCCACTAGAACCTCAAATTCCACCTTATAAGACCTTACTTTCATCAATAGTCCCTGACGAACTAAAGGTATTACTCGTGATGAAAAATCTTCAAATTCTATGATACTTCGAATGCGCCACTCATTGCCCCAAATTATGCTTCAAAAACCCTGAGTAATAATCATCCTCCACCTTCTCACTCATTTCAGCTATACCAACAGTCAGATCCCTCCACACACCACTATCCCTCTAAATCTAGCTTCCACCCCTCTAAATCCCTAAAAGAGGGGGTCCGTACTTTCAAAGTTCTCCTGGTCGGTGTCAAAACAGGCATTGTCATCTATATGACTCATCTTAAGTTACTAAAATTATTTATCAACCTTGTCGTTAGCAGTGGGGTTTTGGGGTTTTGGGGTTTTGGGGTTTTGGGGTTTTGGGG